TCTCTCTCTCTCTCTCTCTCTCTCTCTTTCTTTCTTTCTTTCTTTCTTTCTGTTTTCAAGAAGAGATTGGACAGCCATTTGTCTGAAATGGTATTGGGTTTCCTGCTTGAGCAGGGGATTGGACTAGATGGCCTCCAAGGTCCCTTCCAGCTTCATTATTCTGTAATTCTGATTCTTTATTATTCTGTTTGTTATTCTGTTATTTACTTCCCTTTCATTCTCTCTCTCCCTCCCTCCCTCCCCCTGTCTCTCTCTCTCCCTCCCTCTCTCCTGCTCTCTCTCCTTCCCTCCCCCTCTCTCCCTCCCTCCTGTCTCTCTCTCCCTGCGTCCACCCTCTCTCGCCCTCTCCCTCTCTCCCCCTGTCTCTCTCTTTCTCTTGCTTTCATTATCCAGTGATTGAGAGCTATTTTTATTTCACATTTATCCAGAGCGATGTTTCTCCAAGATCACCTCCCATCAGCTAGGAAGTCTTCAAGATTCTGCTTAGGGTTTCAAAGGTTCCCCTGGATTTCCTCTTTGGGTTGTGAGCAGCCATCAAACCGACGCAACTAATCTAATCTAATTACCTCGTTACTTCTGACTCTGTTAGGTTTGGTGAACGTTTGTCCCAGTGATCTCCATCTGCTTGCGCGTCGCACCAGCAACTCTTACACATCGCAGCTAACACCGCGGCCGTGTGACAAGCGAAATCCCACTGGATTTTCCCTTTATTTAGTGGGGGGTAGATTTTGATTTTTTTTTTTTTTTTTTAGATTTCTCTTGCACCGCTGAGTAACACAACCAATAATAGTGACAGCTCTGGTTTAGTCTAACGATCATATGGCAGAACCTTGTTCCTCCTGTCCTCGGGGGAGTTTGTATAATAACCATGACATTGTCTGGAATGGCAGTATTGGCATTTGAGCGATCGATAAACCAGCCACTTCCACTGAGTAACCTGTTAAAGAGTTGGATTCAGAAAGGTTCAAATTGATATGCATGCCACCGCATTCATTAGACCACCAGGGACAAGTTCTCCATACGTGGTTAAATAACTGAGGGCGACAGATGTCAGCTAGAATATTTTTAAGTATATTTTAAACAGAGATGACGCTTAATGACCTTAATGTTCCACTTCACGAAGTTTGCATGTTTGGGAAAAAAAAAAAGACATTAGAAGGACTCTCCTTGTCTGGTTATGATTGAAGATCTGCTTACTAGTTTTGCCACTCTGTGGGTAAAATACATGTACAGAATGTGTGTGTGTGTGTGTGTGTCTGTGTCTGTATGTGTGTATTTGTGTGTGTGTGTGTATGTATATATGTGTGTGTGTGTATATATATTTGTGTGAGTGCGTGGGGAGAGAGAGAGAGAGAGAGAGAGAGAGAGAGAGAGAGAGAAAGAGAGAGATAGGTAGATAGATAGAAAGTTAGATAGTTTAATAGGTAGAAGATAGATAGATAGATAGATAGATAGATAGATAGATAGATAGATAGATAGATAGGAAGAGAAGGAGGGAGGGAGAGAGGGAGGAAGAGAAAGGAAGGAAGAGAAAGGAAGGAAGATGGAAGGGAGGGTGGGAGGGAGGAAGGACTTCACAACAACATATGGAAGCTGCACTTGGAATAGTCACATTTTTAAACATTTCTATGAGCAACCTACCTCCGTAAGGCGATTTTACAACACCAGGCCTGCAAATCGCAAGTGATAGCTGTTGAATCCTATCAGCTTCACCTCTCTTGAAAAGTTAAGCAGTGGCTTTCAGCTTTAATTGTATTCATTTAATCTCATGGCAGTAGCACGGTGGCTCGAGCAGTTGGAACGCTGGGCAGGAGATTAGCAAGCCCACATTTGAGACCCAGATTAGCAAGCCCACATTTGAGACTACAGGGTTCTCGTCCTTCACCCCAGCTCCTCCCAGGGACATGAAGGGAACCCTCAATTGGGCATCCCCAGGGCAACGGTGATGTCACTGGCTAATCCTTTCCACCCCGGAAGCATTTTGGTGCTTCTGACCCAAGTGCTAAATAATAATAATAATAACCTTCATGGTATGTTCCATTCAATAGTAATTCCAAAGGAAATTTGGATTTAGCAGATGCAAGGAGATTCAGATTTGCAAGAAGTTGTTGGTCCAACTGTGTAATCATGGCATTGGCATTCATAACTTCATCACCCTTGAAGGGGTTCCAACACACATTTGACCTGAAAATAATTCCACCAAAGTTATACGACTAACCTTACAAAGATGACTTAAATATTTCCTTTTTTTTCAAATCAATGGATCTTTCTCATAAATGATACCTCCCCTAATCCAAATATCTTCTTGTGGCCTGTCAGCCACCGGTCCCTCAAGCAGCTGAATCAGGAGGAGGAGGAGGAGGAGGAGGCCTGGGAGTCAGAGTCAGCATCAAAGAAATCTGAGAGCTCTGAGAGCGAAGAGGGAAGAGGGAATGGAGCTGTCAGAAAGAGAGAGAGAAAGAAGCGGAGCCTGGGCTATCCGTCAACCCTCAGATGGAGAGTCAACAGCCCCAAGGTCTGGAGGTGGCTGATGAGGAAGAGGAGGAACAGCTGGGTACAGTACCTGATGAGCGGCTGTGCAGAAGGCAGAGGAGAGGAGAGCAGTGGAAATCAATGGGCCGGTCCTTGGGACAGAACAGCCGCTGCTGCTAATGAGGCCCCACCCTAGCTCTGGGAATAAAAGAGGATGAATAAGTATGGCAGACAACTATTCATCTCCCAGCCTGACAGACTTGTTATCTTTGGTGAAAGAGGAACTGTTTGCGGGGGCTGCTGGTGCTCCTAATAAAGGAATCATTGAGTTAACTTCAGAGGATTTGTCGTGTTTGGGGAGCTGGGTCAGAACATACCCCTAATCACCAAGTTGTTCTAACCAAAACCCATTTCCAATAAGACAAACACAAACCAAAGAGAACAGAAACCTTTTAATGATTCTTATGAATTCCTGGTTAAAAGGCTGCTGCAAACTAATTAACTTTAATAAACACAAACCTTGCCAAAACTGCATGAGAATCACAGATAAGAAACATTTTACAACACAAGAGTCTTCAAATACCAACTTAAGATCGTGCAATGACCAGGATATAACAGATAAGAAATATTTTACAACACAAGAGTCTTCAAATAGATCCTGCAATGTCCACGAAGCTGAGTTTCAAAATGTCTTTGCTTCCTGCAAAGAATGTTTGCTTCACAGCTGTCTTTTATCTTTTTGAAGGAGGGGCCATTACCTTGCAGCCTTACTCCCAAGTCAGCCATGCTGTTGTAGCTGCTCTTTCCTGCGAGCAATCCTGCATGCCCGCACACTTGGCACAGGCTCCTCAGGAACCTCCTCATCGCTGCTGACAGCCCCCACAATCTCTGAAGGCAGCAGCCCACTCCCTAATGGTCCCATCCCCTCATCTGAGTCCTCGCTCTCCTCAGACATCCACACCTGCTGCCGGCTAACCACAACACAAGTTTAGCTTGTGTTGAGAGTGTCATTCAGAAGTGTTCACAGGAGATGGTTAAAAGAAAAAAAATCACCATGGTTGTTATAATGGTGTGATCAAAGAGCCACCCATTATTTATGTTCCGGCACCCCAACGTCATCCCTTCTTACCCCATTCCCAGGTAGCCTGTTAGAATATGTGGATGTGATAGAGTCTACCCAGTCTGAAGACCTAGCTCATCTCTTCCAGGGTTGTCCGAACCTGGCAACATTAAAACTTGTGGACTTCAACACGGCTGGCTGGGGAATTCTGGGAGTTGAAGCCCACAAGCTTTAAAGTTGACAGGTCTGGTTCCATACTAACGGTATGGGATTCTACAGGCAATGCTCGACTTACGACCACAATGGAGCCGAACATTTCTGTGGCTATGTTGAGAAAGTATGTTGAGGTGAATTTTGCCTCACTTTAACAACTTTTCTCACCTCGGCTGTTAAGGGGATCACTGCAGTTGATAAACGAGTTGCCAGGTGGTGAAGTGAAATCTGGCTTCTCCCGTTGGCTTGTCAGAAGGTCGCAAAAGGGAATCACATGACTTTGAGACACCGCAATGGTCATAAATACGAACAGGTGGCCAAGCATCTAAATTTTGACCACAGGACTGTGGGAAATGCTGCAATGGTCATAAGTGTGGAAAATACAATTCTAAGTCACCTTTTTTGGTGCCGTTGTAACTTTGGTCACTAACTGAACTGTTGCAAGCCAAGGACTACCTGTATGTATCTATAGCTACCATATTCTTTGCCTTCCAAACTCTTATCTTTTTTTTCTAAGCAAGCTTGGAGCATTTCATGCTCTGTTAGATATTATGGAGGTGAAAAGGTAGAAACAATTTCCTTGTGTTTTCATGCTTTTGTAGGCTCAGCACTGCTTAATTCCTGGGATGAATCTTGCTGGCATTGAAAACTCTTCATTACTCTTAACTCCTTTCCCCATTTTGTTCTGTTGTTTTGTTTCTCCAGACCCGAAGTGAAGCTGCTATGACCGTCCTCAGCGGCCATGTGGTGGTTTGCATATTTGGAGATGTGACGTCAGCGCTGATAGGACTGAGAAATTTTGTGATGCCACTCCGAGCAAGCAATTTCCACTACCACGAGCTCAAACATATCGTCTTTGTGGGCTCCTTGGAATATTTAAGGAGGGAATGGGAGACCATGCATAACTTTCCCAAGGTCTCCATTTTACCAGTAAGTCCAAGGACCTGATCTCCCCTCTCCCCCCACCTCAATCCTTCCCTCCCTCCGTACTTCCCACCCACTTCTTCCTTTCTTCCTATCCCCCTTACTTCCCAAGATACTGTCTTCCTTCCTTCTTCCCTCCCTCTCTTCTTCTTCCCCGCCTTTCATTGCTTCTTTCCTTCCTCCCTCCCTCTCATTCCTTCCTTCCTTCCTATCTCCCTTCTTTCTTCCCAAGACATTATCTTCCTCCCTCCCTCCCTCTAATTGCTTCCTTCCTGTCTCCCTTCTTTCCTAACTCACTGTCTGTCTCCTTCCTTTTCCCTCCCTCCCTCTCTCTTTCCTTTCTTACCTCTCATTGCTTCCTTCCTCCCTCCCTCCTTTCCTTTCCTTTTCTGTCCCTTCCCTTTCCTTCCTTTCATTTCTTTTTTTTAATTTGGTTTTTCAATTGCTTACAAGATAATAGGTATAAGTAAAAACATAGTTATGAATACATATAAGAAAAATTAAAAAAATAAAAGAAACAATAGGACAGGAACAGTAGGCACGTTGGTGCGCTTATGCACGCCCCCTACAGACCTCTTAGGAAAGGGGTGAGGTCAATAGTAGAAAGTCTAAGGTTAAAGTTTTGGGGGTTTGGGGAAGAAACCACAGAGTCAGGTGGAGTATTCCAAACATTGACCACTCTGTTGCTGAAGTTGTATTTTCTGCAGTCAAGTTTGGTGCGGTTAACCTTGAGTTTGTATCTATTGTTTGCTCTTGTATTGTTATGGTTGAAGCTGAAGTATTCATTGACAGGTAGGACATTGCAATGTATGATTTTATATACTATACTTAGATCGGACTGAAGGCGTCATAGTTCTAGGTTTTCTAGGTCTAGAATTTCAAGTCTGGTGGCATAAGGTATTCTGCAACAAGTAGAGGAGTGGAGAACTCTTCTTGTGAAATATTTCTGGACTTTCTCAACTGTGTTAATATCAGATACATAATGTGGGTTCCAGACTGATGAGCTGTATTCAAGTATTGGTCTAGCAAATGTTTTGTATGCTCTAGTTAGTAGTGTAATATTACCAAAGAAAAAGCTACATAAGATTAGGTTAACAACTCTTAATGCCTTTTTGGCTATGTAGTTACATTAGGCTCTAGCACTTAGATCATTAGAGATGAGTATTCCAAGGTCCTTTACAGAGCTTGGATCATCAACAAGGTTTTGACAATTCAGCCTGTATTTTATTTTCTGATTATTATTTTTTTGCCAATATGTAAGACAGAGCATTTATTTGTTGAGATTTGAAGTTGCCATTTGTTTGACCATTCTTGTACATAGTGGAGGTGTTTTTGAAGGGTAGCAGTATTGTCTATGGTGTTGAATAGCTTTACATTGTCAGCGAAGAGAATGCAGTTGCTCTTAACATGATCACAGAGGTCATTTATGTAGAGTGTGAAGAGAGTTGGTCCTAGAACACTGCCTTGGGGGACACCACTGTTGACAGGTACAGAATTTGATAGGATGCTCCCAATTTTGACCATTTGTTGTCTGTTTGACAGGAATGCTTCTATCCAGTTATGCAGGTGTCCAGAGATACCATAAGATTTTAGTTTTAGGAGTAGTTTGTCATGTACCACTGAATCAAAGGCTTTACAGAAGTCTATGTAGATTGTGTCTATTGTTTTGCCCTGATCGAGTTGTGTAGTCCATATGTTTTTGCAGTGCAAGAGTTGCAGATTGCAGGATAGTTTTTTTCTGAAATGAAATTGTTTATTAGAGAGTAGGTTGTTTGTCTCTAGGTGGAAGATAATGGATTGGTTAATAATTGATTCCATGACTTTACAGGTTTCCCTTCCCTTTCCTTCCCTGTGCTTCCCTTTCCTTCCTTTCCTTTCCTTTCCTTTCCTTTCCTTTCCTTTCCTTTCCTTT